AAAAGTTATAATAGCCACCAACTGGGGAAAAAACGTCAGATAACTTCCTTCCCCAAAAATACTCTGAATGCTAATTAAATAATACTCAGTTGAGAGTCTTCACAATTTCCTGACCCAAATAAAACACTGCGGTTCTTCAAAACTAACTGCACATTATAATATACAATTAAACTGTACAACATTAACGTCCTGATAGGAAATTGATCAAGTTAGCCATCATATACCAGAAAACTGAAGGAGATGCCCAGGGCCAGCTACATAATTTGCAGGGCCCAGTGCACAATGAAAATGTAGGACCCTGCTTGGACATAAGTCAATCCCCCGTTTCCAAGGGCCCATCACCCCAACCCACGTCAGACAGGTGCGCCCAGTGGAATGTGGCAGCAGTCGAGAGACAGGGGCAGAAATGGGGAAACCAGGTGACCCAGTGCACCTGGGGTGGCATGGAGGGGTGGCTGAGAACCTGTCCCAGAGAGGCAGGGAGGCGATGAGACATAGACACCGTGGAAGGCAGGTCATGTATAAGTCGAGGCTCCAAGCCCCCAGTGCCTGCTTCATTGTCCCATCTGACTTCACCGATACAACACAAATTCAAAGATTAAATTAATAAGAATTTCAAAACAGTGACAGCAAAGCATTAGATTCCAAGCACAGGACACTTCTGTGTGTTGGGCCCTGAACAATGGCACTGGTGGCACCCCCATGAAGCCAGCCCTGGAGAGGGCAGTGAGCAAAAGAGTGAATGATGTTCCCAGCTAACTCACCCCATCTCACATAGCTAGCTGGTCCTCACATGGTTGCCATGACAGCTGTTTTGGGATGAAGGGTATGTGATGCTCTCTCCTAATCTTTTTTTTTTCTTTCACATCTTGACCAACTTATCACATCTAAGGGCTTACCTCTCTTAGGGCCTGTCCTCATGAGGTGAGAAGTGTCAGGAAAGCAACCTGGCACAGCAGCAAGAATGGGACCAGGAGTCAGACAACTGCTGGCTGTCTCCCTCTAACATTCCACACCTTGGCGTCCCTTCATCACTCTGGGCCTCTGCCTCCTTATTGCTAAATTCCTCATGTTAAAATGGTGGCTTCCTTATTATTATTATTAATGAAAGGGTTAGACTAGGTCACCTCTAACATTCCCTCCAGCTCCGTTTCTGGGAGAAGGAAACAATGCAAATAGATGTTTGGCAAAAGGCGTTTGGCCTCTTGACTGTTTTATCTCCCTTTTCAGTGGACTCCTTGTAATCAGTATAATTTGATTTATCAAAGCCATATCTGAGCTGTTTGGTGTGGTGCTGTCACCACCTAAAAGACAAAAGTAAGGAGGTGTGAGTAATTTGGGCGTGTGTAGGCAAAGGAAGCTCTCATTTCCTTAGGGCCCAGAGCAGATAGGCTAATTCTGTGACTCCAGATTTTAAAATAACAATAATTAGTACCTGTGACAGTTCTTTTATCTAAGGTGCTCATAGGGCTTTGTTGTCTTTAACCCATTAATTCACCTGCCTCAAGCCATCAGGGGGTCAGGAGGAATCTCCTTAGCAGACTAGCACACCAGGAACTCAAACCTCACAACAGTGAGGAATGCCATGACTAAAGGCCAGCCAGAACTGGGTGGGAGGAGAGACAGGGTCACCAAAATAGTCCTCTTGGAAGAATTAAATGGGAAATCTTCCTGTTGGTCTCCTAACAGCAGTTTCACAGCTCACAGGGTCTTTGAGTGAATCCTCCTGGATGTCACATTTTAGCATCTGGAAAATTCCTTTACGCTTAACGTAAACTTTAGATTAGCTTTTACAGCTTCAGACAGACCGTGATTATGCCCAAAGCAAGTAAAGGGGAGGACTCTTCTTCCTAGAATCATCTTCTCTCAGAGGAAAAAAAAGCTTTTTAAAGTTAAGGAATCTTCGGACTTCCCTGGTGGCGCAGTGGTTAAGAATCCGCCTGCCAATGCAGGGGACACAGGTTCGAGCCCTGGTCCGGGAAGATCCCACATGCTGTGGAGCAACTAAGCCCGTGCGCCACAACTACTGAGCCTGCGCTCTAGAGCCCGCTAGCCACAACTACTGAGCCCGTGTGCCACAACTACTGAAGCCCGCGCGCCTAGAGCCCGTGCTCCGCAACAAGAGAAGCCACCGCAATGAGAAGCCCGCGCACCGCAACGAAGAGTAGCCCCCGCTCGCCGCAACTAAAGAAAGCCCGCGCGCAGCAACAAAGACCTAATGCAGTCATAAATAAATAAATAAATAAGTTTAAAAAAATAAAGTTAAAGAGCCTTTATATGATAGAACACCACTGCAGAATGAATTTGTCCAGGCTTTGTTAAGATTCTGATTTATTTGCAGGTGGTTTCCATTTAAAAGCATTGGTTGGAAAACCACACTGCTAAAAAGTACCTTCACATGGCCTGGAATTCTATCATTAGAATCCTTCAATTAATCAACCCATCCATCACCTAGGAGGTGCTCCCCACAGGGCCAGGTGCTATGGGGACATAAAATGTGGAGCCTAACCCCCAAGCAACTACAAGTCTAATCAAGGGGATGAGACCATTACAAATAAAAGTAATTAATAGATGTATTATTTAAATTCATTTATTGCTTATAGCTATTAATAAATTGATTAATACAAATAAAATGGGAAGAAAATATTATTTCCATAATTTTGGACAGCACAGACCCTGCATGTTGTAGAGTTCCTGGCAGGAGTGATGAGTGAGGGCCGGAGTGATGAGGGAAGCTCACAGAGGAGGTAAGATGAACTAGACCTCAGAGGTAGGGAAAGTATATTTGGGTAGGAAGCAGGATCAATGGGAATTGAGCGCAGAGGATAAGTGGGAGGAAAGCAAAAGGCAGTACAGGACAGGGACAACCCCTAAGAGAAGGCAAGCAGATGGGGGTGAGAAAACCAACCTGAACAAAACACAGGGTCAGCAGACCTGAAGGAAATATGGTTGGATGGGGGAGGGAGGGGCCAGATCACAGGGACACTTGAAACCACACTAACAAGCACTGACTGGGGTCTTCAGGAGTCCCCTGTCAAATGCAAATATCCATATATTCAATATCCTGTAATAAGCCATAACAGAAAAGAACATGAAAAAGAATACATATAAACAGCAAAGATATATATATCTCTGAACCACTTTGCTGTACACCAGAATCTAACATAACATTGTAAATCAACTATACTTCAATTTTTAAAAATTAATTGTAGATAACTAATAGGGACCTAATGTCTAGCACAGGGAACTCTACTCAATACTCTGTAATAACCTATACGGGAAAGGAATCTAAAAAAAGAGTGGATATATGTATACGTATAACTGATTCACTTTGCCGTACAGCACAAACTAACAAAACATTGTAAATCAACTATACCCCGATAAAAAATTTTTAAAAATAAAATTAAAATAATAGTTCATTTAAAAAATGAAAGCAAGGAAAACCTCCAAACATTTTTTTAAAAGGCAAATATCCAGGAAAAGAACCAAGGAGTCAAGTAAATTTGAAGGGGAGCTTGGGGGGTGGCCTGCAGTCAGTATAGCCTGGACCCTGTACTGCGCGCTCTATTATACGTCACCACAGAGAAAAAGAATATGTTATACCAATATCAGCTGGAACTTTTAACTGCAAGTTCTTCTATCTTGGGCCCTGGGAAAGCCCCAATGGAATGAGACCCAGAAAGGGTACGTTCTGATGGGGGTGAGGAGAGCAAGGAGAGCGGGAAATTATACCAAAGGCTTTGGCAATCCTGGAAGAGCTGGTCCAGGTAGGGACCCCACTTGATGGGCAGCCGAAGCCTGAGGAAGCACCTCCACAGGAGAGGAAAAGAAACGGGCAGAGCAGAGAAGACAAATTTCCCCTAATTCACACTGATGCCAACCACTGGCCCTTTTAATGTGTGTAACCCTTCTTTATGGCCCAGTAAACGTCTTATTCCTCTGGGATGGATGCTTTTTTGGATCTTATGATCAAGATGTGGGGAAGACTGGAGATGGCTTTTTAGGGAGCAGGTCAGAAGAAGAACGAAGTGTCCTCACGTGAGCCCAGCAGAGGGCCTCTCGCAGCCTCCAAGTCACATCGGAGGCTGTGGGGAGGGGGCGGTCTTTCCCAAAGCCACACCCCTTTGTAGGCCCTGCAGGAACCCGAGTGCGGGCCTCCATCCTTCTGCCCGTTTGGGGACAGATTAAAGACGCTGAGGTTGTCTCCTTCTTACTCATTGGCAGTTACAACCTCGCAGCCACTACAGTCTCAGCCTCCAGCGTGCACACAGAGGAGGTAAGTGGGACTGAAGGGGCCATGCCCTCAGCTGTCAGCCTGGGTCACTCCAGGGAGCTGGCTTGGGAATAGCTGAAGGGGAGTAGAGCTAGGGGTATTCAGCTGCAAGGTACTTGTTTCCAAATGAATATATGTGATGTTTTTCTAGACAACCCCAGGCAAGGCGTAGAGTTTGGTGCTAAACTCTCCAAAAAGTTAATCGAAGGCAGAGACCTTTTTGTAAAATTCTTCGACAGACCAACAGTGGGTATTTAACTGTGATGCGCTGTCTTGGATCGACTTGAATTAAAAGAAGGAAGAGTCATTGAAATGACTGGGAAAAGTCATCTGCCTGTCTGCTTCGAGCAGTGCCTCGTGTCTTGAATGATCGAATGGCCCGTTAATGTTGGCAACCCTTGCCCTGGAGCCTGCTATAACTGGAGTCCTAACCATCATGCAAACGTTGTCACACGCCCGATTTTTATGAAAAAGATCCTGCCTTAGCCCTCAAAAAGCCTTGGTGGAAATTATGACGTGAAACTTCATGAGTTATCTGGAGCCCCTAAGCGAAGATGGTTCTCCTTCCCAGCAGGATAGAGCTAGGATAGTTTGGAGGGGTGGATGGTTTTGAGCTATTTCATTCAGTAGGTCCAGGTGTCTTCATGTGGGAATCAGAGACATTATAGTGTCCTGCCCAAGACTACCCAACAGCGGTTCTTGAGGGTGCAGGTAAAGTTATGAAGTTATGTTTGTTCCTTTTTTTTGCACGGGAACAAAAGACCATTCTCGTGAGGTCCACCTACAAGTCACCACGTATGAGGACTGCAAAGAGTCCACTGGGGACTATTACTTCCTCTGTGACACCACGGGAGCATGGGGCATTGTTCTGCAGTCCCTGGCAGTAATTGGCATAGCAGTTACAGTTTTGCCACCCTGGCCTTTCTCTTCCTCATGAGAAGGGTTCAAGACCGCAGCCAGTGGAATGTCCTCCCCACCCAGTTCCTCTTCCTCCTGGGTGGGCTGGGGCTCCTCAGCCTTGCTTTTGCCTTCCTCATCCAGCTCAACAAGCAGACTGCCCCCATCCGCTACTTTCTCTTTGGGGTCCTCTTTGCTGTCTGTTTCTTGTGCCTCTTGACTCATGCCTCCAACCTGGTGAAGCTGGTCTGGGGTCAAGTGTCCTCCTCTCGGACGACGATTCTGTGCATTGCTATTGATGTCAGCCTGTTGCAGACGATCATCGCCACTGAGTATGTGACTCTCATCATGACCAGAGGTACGATGTTTATGGATATGACACCCTGTCAACTCAACGTGGACTTCGCGGTCCTCCTGGTTTACGTCCTCTTCCTGCTGGCCCTCACGTTCTTCGTCTCCAAAGCCACCTTCTGTGGGCCGTGTAAGAATTGGAAGCGGCACGGAAGGCTCATCTTCCTCACCGTGCTCATCTCCATCATTATCTGGGTGGTGTGGATCTCCATGCTCACGAGAGGCAACCCAATGGGACGACCCTGTCCTCTGCATCGCCCTGGTCACCGACGCATGGGTTTTCCTGCTGCTGTACATCATACCAGAGCTGTGCTTTCTCTATAGATCGTGTCAGCAGGATTGCCCTCTGCAAGGCAATGCCTGCCCACTCCCAGCTTAGGAACGCAGCTTCAGAGCAGAGAATCAGCAACTCTCAAGAGGTACTTTCCTGGGGAGCTTGGGGAGGCTCTCCCGTAAGAGAAGCAGGAGAAAAAACAGGGCATAGGTGGGTGACGACATAGCTCAAGCCTGGAGACGGGGACACTCAGAGTCAAGGTTAAACTTTTCTAAATAATCAGTTCCTCCGAAATACAGAGATTTATGGGGAGAGGCCAAGACAGAAATGACTCAAAGGCCCTAAATAGAAAGGGTGTGGCTCTGAGTATTCGTGCTGGATAAAGAAAGGCGCCCACTATAAAATGAGCTAACCAGCCCCAAATTAGGCTTGGGCCGTGCCATTGCATGACACACCATGCTAAGCACAGATGTTTGGCCATCAAGTGCAAGAGCAACCCTGGCACCGGTAACTGACATTTTTCACATTTAAGTCTCAAAGCCGACTTGCCCAAATATCATAACAGACTGATCTGCACGACTCATCACCTCATTAGAGTCTCAAAGCCCAACAACTTCTGGATTCCTACTTTGTAAATCATTCACTCCTTGAAAGCCTTCGAGGTTTACACAAAGTGACAGAATGAGCCATGAAGTCAGAATTCTGAGCAAGAGTCTCAGATGTGTAATCAATAATAGAAATAAAGAACTTGCTTTTGTGACATTTTCATAATAATTTCTGGGTCGGATTTGTATCCTTATATAAGACCAAGCCACCTGACTATATACTGGTAAAGAATAAAATATATTATCCATGATAACAAGGAGGTTTGGACCCCAATAAACCGGGGGAATTAGTGGCTAATTTCAGTTATCCGGAAATACGTCAAAACTCATTAATCCCTTTCTGAAATATCTGGCCTATTATTCAGAACCCAGCATCACGGTTTTACATCAAATTTTGTGTCTTAATAGGCATCTGATTTCTCAGTGTGTTTCTAATGTGCAAAGATGATGTTAGTTTATACATTGTATCACGCACATTATGCTCACCAGGCTCAAAAACATTAATAGAAGGTTTCCTTTTAAATCAGACACTTTTCTGAGCTGTAATCTATGGCTAATTACATACTCAAAGTCAATCCTGTTCAGAGGGAAGCATCCATTAATTCTTTTCAGTTCAGTTGACCACGAGTTGGAAATTGACACTATACATCCTTCTTTTAAGAGTTTTTCATTGCTTTTGATGATATGAGGTTTGGGGCAGAATTGCAGAGTCTATCTTTCTTTTTTTTTTTTTTTTTTTTTGCAGTATGCGGGCCTCTCATTGCCGTGGCCTCTCCCGTTGCAGAGCACAGGCTCAGCGGCCATGGCTCACGGGCCCAGCCGCTCCGCGGCATGTGGGATCTTTCCGGACCGGGGCACGAACCCGTGTCCCCTGCATCGGCAGGCGGGCTCTCAACCACTGCGCCACCAGGGAAGCCCGGGTCTATCTTTCTTGAAACTACTTCTTATAGTTCTCACCGAAAAATGGGATAAAACTTCTTCTGTTTGCTTTGTTGCTGTTATGTTTCCAGGAAACAAAAGTCAGAGAGAGAGAGAGAAAGTTCTTAGAGTTTCATAATACCCAAAACCCACTGGGACTTGTAATGATCAATTTTCCATACGCCCAAAAGACTAGGCAGGTGTTTAAAGTGTTCTAAGAAGTGTCTTAGTGGAAAAGCAAGAGCTTTCAAAAGCACAGTGTTTCCTTATAACTATCCTTATTACTGGCGCATGGTTAGAAAATCCATTTCTGCCAGTGATAGTCATTGTCAACGTAGCTCAATATTTTGTGGCAGAAAAAAAAATCGATAGTGTAGAAAAGAACATATAGATTGCTCTCCAAAACTAGGCAGAATAACCAGAAACTTAAGCTTAGAGAAGGAAATCAGAATTTAGGTCACCTAGAAAAAGTACAAATATCAAAAATTAGAAGAATGATTAAAATGCAAGAAAAAGTACAGGATGACACCTAGCTAGGAAAAACATACAAAGAGATACAAAATAAATAAGAGTCAGACCAGTACAGTATAATAACAGTAACTCAAAAAATCCTAAGTGTTGCTGTAGGTCGTGAGCGGACCGTGGGAGCGCAGCTCACGGCTGTCTGTTTTTGTTTGCCCGAGAAACAATCGTAGTGCTGTGTAAACAGACAAGTGGTCGGCTGGAACAATCAGGCCATTGTTCTCAGCACCTGTCAGTCTCTGACAAGAATCCCCTTTCCAGCACTGAGATCCACTGATGAGAAATGTGGGAGAGGCTGGGTGGAAAACCACAGAGATGATGAAGGAGTTATAACGTCAGACCTCCGTGGAAAGGTTAGGACAATGAAACTGAGATGGTAGTTCTTAAGCTCTATGTGTCTTTCTCATGGACATTCAGGTTCTCTCTAAATTCTGTACTGAAACACAACAGTCCATGAGGCGTGCATCTGTCATGTGACTCTTCTGATTTATAGCTATGACCCCAGTCACATAATTTGTTGATTTACCACTGGGTTGTGAGACCAGAATTATTCAGTTGAAAGAAGAGTTAGACAAGAGGGGATTAGCAGGGAATTTCACACGTATGAATACCTCTCTCCGAGAGGTTGCTGTCCTGCTTTCTGTCTCCAGCTAAAGACGAAGGGTGGGAATAGACTCAAATCGAAGCACAAAGCATTTAGATTAAATACGAAACTAAGAGTTGGTACACACTGAAATAGACGAGCAAAGCGGATTAAGGACTTCATTTCCTTGGAAGTCTTTCAAAAGATTAGTCTTTATCTCTCGGAAGTGGCTTAGGGACTTAGTTCGAAGATATAAAAACATCTTGATGGAGAATGAAAATGAAATCAGGTATATCACTACAAAACACCAAACAAATGGGTATAAATATTCCTTGCCCCATGTTATAAATGTGTTTCTTAAAAACTGTAGACTGGGGCTTCCCTGGTGGCGCAGTGGTTGAGAGTCCGCCTGCCGATGCAGGGGACACGGGTTCATGTCCCGGTCCGGGAAGATCCCACATGCTGCGGAGCAGCTGGGCCCGTGAGCCATGGCCGCTGAGCCTGCACGTCCAGAGCCTGTGCTTCACAACGGGAGAGGCCACAACAGTGAGAGGCCCGTGTACCGCAAAAAAAAAACCGTAGACTGATTGAACTTTTAAAATCAATTGCTCTTTTAACTGAGAATTTTAAATGTGATATAATTTTCAAACACCTTAAATATAGAATATCAGCCATGAATCTTTGTTTATGAAGGGAAACTCCTGTTCTAATTATTGTCTGCTTTATCTGTTTTAGATGAATTAGAATATTGTTATATCAAGTTTGCTAAAAGCAAGACCCCTGTATATTTCAAAGGATCATGTAATTGTGGGCATTTTTTCTATCCTGTGTTTAAATATCTACAGACAAATCTAGTATGATTTTTTGAAGGTATTAAGACAGAAATAATGAGGCTATGAAATGTAAAAATGGGTCAATGAATACCAAATGATGTAAAACGAGAGAAAAATGTTCTTGCAAACAGAGGTCCTTCAGATTGTTTTCCTTACAGCAAGTACCAGGCATACCAAGTTCTGGCAAACATAGCCTTTTTTTGGACAATTCTCAACATTTTTTGCTTCAAGGTGCCCACCTTACTAGGAGAAACCAAATTTGGATGGTCCCAGGCAGTGTCATTTTTGTTTGTTCTTTCAGGGGGACAAGCCTGAAAACCTCTCTTTGTCACCCTCTAGAGCTACAGGTCACAAATGAACTGGCGTAAAGTACAGAAGAAGACGTGGTCTGGGCAAGATTTGCTTGGTGTGAGGACAGACCAGGCAAGGATAATGACATTCTCCTCGTCATTATGCTTGGGTGACAGCAGAAAGGGTGCAGACCCTGTCCTCACATGCCCTGTCTTCGAGGCTCAGCTCTGCTTCTTACCAACATTGAGACTCAACCAAGCTCTGCAACCTCTGGGACCTCAGGCTCTTTGTAGTGAAGTGATGGTCATAGTGTCCCTGCCCCCTCCAGGTATCAATGTAAGGTCTTACTTACTCAACTCGGATCCATACCAGGAGCTGGTGGCAGGATTAATAGAGAGAAACACTCGACTTTTTGGTAAATTCATGAACAATAACTCAAGTTGGAGAATTAGGCTTCTCTGATTTATGATCTGGTCTGATGAGACTATTGGAGGAACACGGGTTACCAAGGGGCTGAGTGGGAAGGAGTCTTGTTATGCTGCAAGGAACAAAGTTAAACCAAGGATTCAGCTCATTTCTGCTGAAAGAAGAATGTTTTATTTTCACAGGATTCAATCCCTCTAAAAAACACCAGTAGGAGAAGGATGTCGGAGCATCAATTATAACTATACCAACAACACCACCGCCAATAATAATATACAAAGGGAAGCACTATGGTGCTTTCTATACTTCATGTCCTATTCCAAGGGCTTTATAGATATTGACAGATTTAAACTTCAAAGCAACCGTATGAGATAGATTGACTATTATGGTCATCATGAAACTCCCATCAGGAAACAGAGGCAACAAAACATTAAGGAACTTGACCGCAGGTAACACAGCTAACAAGTGAGAGGGCAGAACAGTCCATGCTCTCAGCGCTGCAGCCACCAAGCAGGAACAAAATGACACGGTTACATCCCAGACCATCGAAGGACAACTATGTATCGAGCAAGGAGCTGGTCTAAGAGACAGACACAGCTCCTGTCTTCACAGAGCTTACAGGCTTGTTGAGGAGACAGATATTAAACAACCATGTGTGATTATTCTACGACAGTATAAAATGGTCTTTAAAAATTATGTCCAGTTTTTTTCTTTTCTTTTTTTTTTGGCCACGTGGCACAGCCTGCGGGATCATAATTCCCAGATCAGGTGTCAAACCCATGCCCCCTGCAGTGGAAGTGCAGAGCGCGAACAACTGGACCGTCAGGGAATTCCCTATGTCCAGTTTTTAAAATTGAACCAAAGCTTGCAGAGTATCGAGCCTAAAGGGACTTTAGAGATGATGCAGGGAAGGCCTTTGATTCTACTGCTGAAGACAGTGAGATGCCCAAGGTCACGAGGGTGCAAAGACCCTGAGCCCCTGCTGATGCTCTTTCTGTAGAAAGTGATGATAAGCTTTCAGCCTCTTCAGTTACTAAACACAGATGTGCTTCTCCTGAGCACACAAATGTGATCCCTAGGCAACCTTCCTCAGAAGCTTTTAAAACACTCTTTTTAAAAATCACAGATTAGGGGCTTCTCTGGTGGCGCAGTGGTTGAGAGTCCGCCTGCCGATGCAGGGGACACGGGTTCGTGCCCGGGTCCGGGAGGATCCCACATGCCGCGGAGCGGATGGGCCCGTGAGCCATGGCCACTGAGCCTGCGCGTCCGGAGCCTGTGCTCCGCAACGGGAGAGGCCACAGCAGTGAGAGGCCCGCGTACCGCAAAAAAAAAAAAAAAAAAATCACAGATTAAAACACACACACACACACACACACACACACACAACCTCAGCGGAGAATTCCTTTTCAAAGGGTCAGGAGCCTCTTTGCAAGACATTGAGTCTCTTAGTCCTCATGTGCTGTTTCCAGGTAAATCCGTGACACTAAGCCAGCCCCTTCCCTCCTTTGACCTTCAGCCCGAGATAGTGAGGAGCTGAGGAGGGTGTAGCAGTAACTGAATACGGTACCCCCAATTCAGCAGCGGGTAAATGTGGTCATCTGCATTCTCCAGGGAAGCACAGAGCAACTCACTCCTTCCTCAGGAGAGCAGTCAGTCTCCATCTCCAGTGGCTGTACTGACCTGAGCTGAGCGAGGAGAGGCAGGGCAGGGTCATCCCTCCAGGCATGGGGAGCTTGAGCCATCCAGACTGAATCCACACC